AAAAAACAACCAAAAACCTTTTAGAAGTGCATGGCTGACTCTATTTTAAAGTTGACTACTGGATTTCAAGGAAGAACATTTTCTAACCCACTTTTTTATTGCATCTTTTATTTGTGTATTTTGTTTCTTTGGTGTTTTCATCACCACCACCATGTGACGTGCTGTTAAGGCATGAAGAATGCATCATGATGTCTGCTTGAACATGCACAGCACAACCTCTCAATGTGATTTTTATTTTTATTTTATTTTTTAATGTTCAGAGCCGAATGTCTGCCCTTGTCAAATGAGCCCTAAACCCCTTCTCCCTTTTGTGTGGATAGTTCAGAGGTTTTGTTCTTTGTAAATAATGACCAAATATATATTTTTTTTCTGATTCCCTTTGATAATGGCAGACATTTTCACAAATAATCTCAGTTGTAACCATTAACTGTAATAAAATGAATGAAAACGCAACGGGCTCTATGGTAGTTTGAAGTTCTCTGTTCTGACAGCCACAGAAAATACACATTATAATTGGATGTGATTACATGATCAACAGGTTATGTATTTGAAGTCTTGTGTAGAGATGGCAAGTGTATACGACCTCGCCACTGATATAGCGGGTTAATTGAATATATGAAGTGAAATTGCATTGTGAAGCTCAGGGAAAATAGCTTGTATTTTTTTTGATGATACGTGACTGAATATTGTGTAAATATTCAGAAGCATCATGCCAATTTAAATAGAACGCATACGCAATTTTTGTGTCAAGTTGTCAGATCCTACTGATTGAAATTTTTATTAAAAAGATGACTTCAGATTTCACATGAATAAAAGTCAGCATTTTTGTTCCAATGAATATTTACTGTACAAGCCTGTGCCTTGCTAACATGAGCATGAAAGCATTGCGTATAGTGTAACAGGTGTTTCTTATGATCTGTGTGGACAGATTGCCAGTTTGTGAGTGTGAGATCGTAAGGTAAATTGAGCTAGTCTCAGTCTAGACAGTTAGATCTGTTGTACCATTTGAGTAAATTCGGCTCAGCACATTACAGGATTCTTTTTACCTTTTGTGCAACATGCTGTAGTTAGTTAATCATAATGAATAGTGATTACCTATTACTGCTCTTCATTTTAATCAAAGACGAAGGTTAGTCTAATGTCTTGCCTCATAATTCTTTAGGCACTGTCAGCACGAAATATTTCAACATTAATTGTGCTTGTGTAGTGAGCGACTTGTCTAACACCAAATGAAGGGCCTGGGTAAAACATAAATATTGTGGCACTTCACACTGAACAAATTAATATCCACCTCAACATCTTCAATGATGCACAATTATCAGGCATACGATTTGGAATGTAGCTACAGGCCACACCTCAGGAAGAGGTTTTTACTTTGTATGCAATTACCTTTTGTGCAACATGCTGTAGTTAGTTAATCATAATGAATAGTGATTACCTATTAATGCTCTTCATTTTAATCAAAGACGAAGGTTAGTCTAATGTCTTGCCTCATAATTCTTTAGGCACTGTCAGCACGAAATATTTCAACATTAATTGTGCTTGTGTAGTGAGCGACTTGTCTAACACCAAATGAAGGGCCTGGGTAAAACATAAATATTGTGGCACTTCACACTGAACAAATTAATATCCACCTCAACATCTTCAATGATGCACAATTATCAGGCATACGATTTGGAATGTAGCTACAGGCCACATAAACAACCTGTTCCTCACTGTTTGGCCCATTGTTATTATTACCCAGTGTTCCTTAAAGGGATAGTTCACCTTCAGTTGCTGGTTCCTATTGACTATAGTCAATACACTAAGTCAATGGAGACCAGCAACTAAAGGTGAACTATCCCTTTAAGCACTACTGCTTGTGTCTGAACTGCTCTTTATCGTGTTAAGAGGATGCTGTGTTGTCTGTCTGTTTCATGGCAAGTGTAGGCCTTCAGTACGTGCTGATGACATGAGCAAGACTGTGGCTTTACCGCTCCCTAATGTCAGAATACCTAAAGTGCACTTTACCTCAAAACGCGCTTTTACTATGCAATGATAAAGCAGAAGATGCTGGGGTTTGTGTTATTGTTTTATGAAGCTAAATCTTTACAAAGTTTGAGGCTCATAGTGTTTTCATTAAACAGCAGGAAAATGTCAAACACACAATGTCTGAATTCAGAGGTGCACCGACTTTGCTTTCCGTGCTGGTCGGGCGAAGTTATTTATAATCATAAATTCATTTGGGAATCAGATTATAAATATATTTTAAAAGGGATAACATTTTAACACATTAGCTCATAGGTGCTCTAGTAAATGTGCCGTCCAAACAATTTTTTTTTTGAGCTGGTCCAGTTTGTTCTGGGAAAAATCTATGTTTTAAATCATAATTAATAAGGTAACTTCTAGAGAGCATGCAGCGCGCACTGAAGAGAGAGCGTGACTGCACCTGTAGTGCATAATGTATTTGTCGGCAAAGAATTGGTCCACTTTACAATAAAACATTTGAAAGGGTTTACACTGAAAGTTCAAAGCTGAATACAACGCACTTTATAAGAGTTTACATCCAATCTAAGAAGCTATTTGTTTAAGAGGTCAATCATTTGAATGTAACAGGACGACAAGGATACAGTAAATTCATGGTTACAAGCTACAAACCTGAAAACTCAAAGACACTTTACTTAAAAGTATAAAAATGGAAATCAATAAATATGTTTGATTTAAAATTTAATAAAAAAGTAAAATTATGCTTTATAAATCACAGTAAGTCTTTAAAATGAAATATTGCCATGCATTCAACTTTCAGAATCAAAAAATGTAACATTTTCTGTGTCTCATTCTTTAATTTGTTGAACGTTCTTTTTATCACGTTCTCTTCAAACTTGACTTTCCTACGGAACTACAGTGTAGGTCTCTAATACGACGTCTATTACTAATTAATTTCATAATTGCATTTTACAATTTGTGGACTTTTATGTTTTCATCAGGTGCAAAGTGTGATTTTTCAAAACTAATTATGAAATTATTCTGAACTTTAGTTAACTTAAAAACCCATTTGAAGTTTTGCGTTCATAAACTGACTTGAACATATTTCACATAAATTATGTGAAGCAACACAGTCCTCAACTTATATTAGTAAAACCCAATACTTCTAGATTTAGGAGCATGTCAATTGGATAAATATCATCTGTGGTGTTTGTACATTAAAACAGCACTGTGGGTCATATCAAAATGATGCAATGGACCTAGTGTTTACATGAGATAACAGCTTGATGGGTGAAGCATGTCTGTTTGACCTTATTAAAACACGTTTCTTCTCTACATGGAGATTATTAAGCTATTTAGAACAACGCTAAGTAGCACAAAGGAAACAAATGAAATAAATAATTCTAATAATTCAATCTAGTGAAGTCTACAATAATGAGATGATAATGCAATGAGTAGCTTGTACCAAAACCAATCCATAAAGAGAGAGAATCAATCCACTGCAGGTGGACCAACAGTGTGACTGAAGCTCATGTAATGGGACAGTTTTCACAGGGTTAGTGAATCATCACTCCAATAAAGTCGACTTAGCACACAGCAGCTGTGGGGTCAACACTGGGGGTCAGAGAGAAACACTGCTTTATGAAGACAAGCGCTTGCTCTCCTGTGGTCTTGGTTTTAGTAAAAGGAAGCCCGTGTGTTTCAGCAGTGCTCAGGGCTTATAGTGTGTCACTTTAGGAGATCAAAAAACACAGCACAGATCCAGTGTCAAATGCTGCTGCTGTTGTTATTGTTGTTGATGTTTGGGCTGTTCCTTATGTTATTGAGCTCCAGCTCAAGCTGTCGAATCTTAATGTCCTTCTGCGTAAGTTCATCCTTCAGTCGCCGCAATTCCTCCTGCTGCCTGAAGAACATCCGCAAGAGCTGTAGAGCATAAAGCACAGGGTTACACACATATAAACACCTATCAGCTAGAAACTGTATCTGCCAAACTGTCCTTATAACAACCATAATAAATCTGAACAGAATCGTGGTAACACCTCATTCTCTGTACGGGGAGGCACGTTTTCTAGCAGGTCAATCCCATTGACCACTCCACCCTTCTTGTCCTTCACAGGGGCCTTGAACACCAGTTTGTTTGCTCTGTTGTAGCCCTCTTTTAAAGACACGAGCACTGGACCTAGACCAATCAAAAAACACAGCACAGATCCAGTGTCAAATGCTGCTACCATTGCTGCTGTTGTTGTTATTGTTGTTGATGTTTGGGCTGTTCCTTATGTTATTGAGCTCCAGCTCAAGCTGTCGAATCTTAATGTCCTTCTGCGTAAGTTCATCCTTCAGTCGCCGCAATTCCTCCTGCTGCCTGAAGAACATCCGCAAGAGCTGTAGAGCATAAAGCACAGGGTTACACACATATAAACACCTATCAGCTAGAAACTGTATCTGCCAAACTGTCCTTATAACAACCATAATAAATCTGAACAGAATCGTGGTAACACCTCATTCTCTGTACGGGGAGGCACGTTTTCTAGCAGGTCAATCCCATTGACCACTCCACCCTTCTTGTCCTTCACAGGGGCCTTGAACACCAGTTTGTTTGCTCTGTTGTAGCCCTCTTTTAAAGACACGAGCACTGGACCTAGACCATTGTGCGCATGCAAACATGGATTCGTTTTATTTCAGCATTTGTCTTTTCAAATATTTTTATTCTGAAAATAACTGCAGGTCTTTACCTCGGTTGATTCCACTGAGCCACTCATCAGCAGACAGAGCAGGTTCAGTCCCAGGAGTCATGGGATAAATGTCCTCCTGATATGTCTCTGACTGCAAAGAAAGAAGGTTTTCATTTACTGTTATTTTTATAGTTAGATTTAAGACCTTCATTAGTATTTGGTGATGTGTTAGGCTCTGGGCAGGTGAATGTTGAGTCTAAACTAATATGTGGAATCCAGAGGCTCACAGAAAGAGCACTATTATCACTGTGTTCATTGTGCAGAACACTAAGGGATGCTCTAGGATGTGCAATTAGTGTACTGTGAGAAACTATGGATGAAAAGGTAACTCAGTATCTGAGTGAAAATAATCCCAGGTATTCAGGGACTTATTCTTACAGGTTCATGAGGGCTTGCTGAATTCCAAGGCTTCTGCTACAAATAAAGCAAAATGACTAAAGTTTTGTCTATAAGTAAATCTAGACGTTTTCAATACATTCAATGTCTGCAACCTCCAAATATGATGATTTCCTTCCTAAATAATAAAGGCAGCTAAAAGTACAAAGAATATGTATTGTGTGGTAAATAAATGAAATAAAATAGTACATGTGTTGTTTCCTAAATTAAATTATACAGGATATGCAATTAGTGTACTGTGAGAAACTATGGATGAAAAGGTAACTCAGTATCTGAGTGAAAATAATCCCAGGTATTCAGGGACTTATTCTTACAGGTTCATGAGGGCTTGCTGAATTCCAAGGCTTCTGCTACAAATAAAGCAAAATGACTAAAGTTTTGTCTATGAGTAAATCTAGACGTTTTCAATACATTCAATGTCTGCAACCTCCAAATATGATGATTTCCTTCCTAAATAATAAAGGCAGCTAAAAGTACAAAGAATATGTATTGTGTGGTAAATAAATGAAATAAAATAGTACATGTGTTGTTTCCTAAATTAAATTATAGCAATATTAATTTTATATTTGGTTTGCAATTTCACTGAAATAAAAAAATAAGAATACTATTGAAATATTACAATATTAAACATTAAATTAATATTTACGTTCACTGCGTATTTTTTTCCTACCAAATATTAGAGAAACATTTTTAATTTAAATGCATTTGTATAACACATAAATACATAAATATAATTTCAAAGCATCTTCCCAGAAAATAGTTCCATAAAAAATGGCAAGTTAAAGGCAACAGTGCTACAAAACAGATATAACATATAAATACAATTCTTGAACATATGTATGTTGCAAAGAAAGAAAAATATATGCATATAATATTCATATTCATACAGTTAAATATGCTGTAATTTTATTCCTCCCAATTTTACAGAACACCCTCTTGTCGCGTCCTGATTTTAAAACCCCTTGGTTAAACTGTTGGCTGGGCAACATCTGATTCGCCCTCTATCATGAATGATCGATATGGATTGATAGGTATCAGGACCCTTTGCACTGAAACAGAGCTGGCGCTGGATTTATTTGGGTGTGTTGTAAAATTGTGGTGTTGATAGGAGGCTGCCCCTCCCACTGTTTTTAAAGCCTTCTGATAATGGGCCAACCTGCCACTGCCCATTGTGTACAGAGTACAAAACACACGTGCTGTGTCTCACGTGGAGGTTATTACATGGCTCACTACTCTCGTCTCACTGAGGCGGCAGTTACACCAGCAACAAACAGCTGATGGATTCCTCCATCCTTTCAGACTGCTTGCTTAAAAAAAGCCATTTTGGCAGGATACTCAACTATAGGCCTCACACAAGGGATGTGTCTAGCACAAATGTTTCTTCATCCTTCAGTGGAACTCTTAATGATTCATTTAACTGGGAACCATGGACTGTGATCTAATAGCTTCATGGTACTTATGCTCACCCTTCTAGGCACAATCATAGAGATTGGTTCAATCAGGCCCTTTAGAGTGACCAGCTTATAAAACCTGAAGACTTCACACGCTCCTACATCCAGCCCATGCTTCGGCATCACTCCTATCAGAATACACATATGAGAGAGCAACATATGAGAAGTTTAACATTAGACACTGGTAATTGGCATGCTTTGTTGGTTTTGTCTTGATATTGAACAGACCATAACACAACACAACACAGAGTCCTACTGAGAAAATAAAAGTGCTATGATTATACATACAAAATTCCAGGTTTAACCCCAGAGTGCATAAAGACATGAAGTCAAATGACTTGATAGGGTGTGATTTTTGGAATATTTTGTTAATTCGAAAATTAAGATAAAACAAGGATGCCTTTCTATGAAGAAAACCACCAAATCCAATATGGGCCATTCTGACCCCCTTTATCAATCTGTGAAGGTTGTTTTGGTTTCTGTATTGGGTTTTTTGCATTCTAGGGTTAATTTAGAAAGTTTCCAACACCATTTTACAGATGTTGCTGGTGTAGTGTGATCATCAAAGGGTGTGGATTCAGCTTTACCGAGCCCTTTCTGTGGTGCAGGGGACCTGAACTCCATGAGATACTGCAGGTAGGGTTTCTCCAGGGTGAACTCGTAGTACCGGATGTTCCCATCACCCTGCAATTACACTGTCTAAGTCAGTTCAAAGACAATTACAGTTTTTTTCTAAGGTGATTATTTGTGATGGCAGTTCAAGCAACTCAACGTATGATGCCCTATAATGTCTTTTCAGTATATAACTGAAAGATAATATGTATATATCTAATATATTTCTAAATATACACTACCATTCAGCAGTTTGTGGTTGGGATTTGTTAAAATGTTTTAATGTTTTTGAAAGTAGTCTCTCATGCTCACCAAGGCTTAAAACACAATCAAAAGTAATAATGTGAGATATTATTACAATATCAAATATTGAGATTAATCGCATCCAAAATAAAAGTTTTTGTTTACATAATAGATGTGTGTGTACTGTGTATATTTATTATGTATATATTAATACACACACATGCATCATGTAAATATTTAAGAAAATTGTTTTGTTTATATATAAAATATTAATATTTATATATAATATAAATTATATTTGAATATATATATATATATATATATGTATATATTTGTAAAATATATACATGTACTGTATGTTTGAGTATTTATATATACATAAGAAATATACACAGTACACACACACATATATTTTGTAAACAAAAACTTTTATTTTGGATGCGTGATTAATTGTTTGACAGCAATAATTTAAATACATTTTAAAATGTTTCTTTCTGTGATGGCAAAGCTGAATTTTCTGCATCATTACTCCAGCACCAAGGCTTAAAACACGATCAAAAGTAATAATGTGAGATATTATTACAATATCAAATATTGAGATTAATCGCATCCAAAATAAGTTTTTGTTTACATAATAGATGTGTGTGTACTGTGTATATTTATTATGTATATATTAATACACACAAATGCATCATGTAAATATTTAAGAAAATTGTTTTGTTTATATATAAAATATTAATATTTATATATAATATAAATTATATTTGAATATATATATATATATATATATGTATATATTTGTAAAATATATACATGTACTGTATGTTTGAGTATTTATATATACATAAGAAATATACACAGTACACACACACATATATTTTGTAAACAAAAACTTTTATTTTGGATGCGTGATTAATTGTTTGACAGCAATAATTTAAATACATTTTAAAATGTTTCTTTCTGTGATGGCAAAGCTGAATTTTCTGCATCATTACTCCAGTCTTCAGTGTCACACGATCCTTCAGAAATCATTCTAATATGCTGATTTGGTGCTCAAGAAACATTACTCATTATTTTTGTTGAAATGGAATTTAATTGATGCTTTCAATATTGAGTGCTTTTTTTGTGGAAACCATGATTTTTCAGGATTCTTTGATGAATAGAAAGTTCAAAAGAAAAGCATTTATTTGAAACGGAAATTTTTTGTAACATTACACTCTAAAAAATAATTCAGTGGATCTGTTGCCACTACTTAATTTAATGCATTAGTGCAAGTTAAAAATTCAAATTTATTGATTTAGTTAAACATTTTAAGTTTTAAACATTTTTTAATGAGTTGTCCTGATATCTTAATGTTGATAATTACATCAACGTAATACTGTGTGTAACTTCAACTTAAATTTCTGTGTTAGTTTGTTTAAAACATTATTTAAGTTGTACTAACTCAATGTAATTAGCTCCATAACTTCCATTTTTTCAAGTTCACGTTTCAGGTTCCCAGCATGCTTTGCATGTGACTGAATAATGAGCGGTAATGTAGAAATAAACTCATATTTTATGCATTTCTATTAAAGATCAGAACAGGAGAAGATTTATTAATGTTCAGTGTTCGGTTATATTAGTATTAAAAGTGTTTCTGTTATGTTGGTGGTCTTTATGAGATTACCATTGTGCTGAAGAGTAGAGCGTTTGCTTAGGTTGAGAACAGACTCACTGAGCATTGTCTTACATGCTGTTTCAATCAGAAGGAATTTGGTTGAAAATGCTGAAAGATTGGATTCCTGGTAGCATTACGTGTTGTTTCATCAAAAAATAATATTTTAGTAGTTTTTGTAACCAGTGTCCATGATTGAATCAAATTTAAAACAATGTGAAAAAACAACTTAATTTTTATGAGTATTCAACTTAATAATTTTTAGTTTTAACACAATTTTCTAAGTATATATAGCATAATATAGTGTATTAGTTGAATTTAATTTCAGAAGAAGTTGCCTTAACTAAAAAAAAATGATGCAAACTGTTGCGTTAATCTTTTCTGTTGTGTCCAAACAATATTTTTTAGAGTGTACTGTTTCCATCCAGTGAGTCAAAGAGAACAATCTGACGTTGTGCTGCTTTGTTCAAGTTACATACTGTAAGACAAAATGCACACAATCCACACCTGTAGCACTTTGCCAGAGCGGGGCTCGATGACGCGGAGCTTCTTGTCCTTGCAGCTGGTAGCCAGTAGGCTGCCCTCTGTGTTAAATGACATACAGAGGATCACGTCTGTGTGACAGTCAATCATTTTCACCGGCTCTCCAATCTCAAGATTCCAAATGAGGATCTCCAGAAAGACAAAAAACACAGTAGTCAAACATCAGAAACAGTCTTTTGACTGCTTTATTTTTGTGAGGGGCACTCTCATGTTCATATTATGGACAGTCAGAATTAGTTTTCACATACAATGTTTAGTACTAACTGTCCACACTGTTAATTTAAAGGGGTCATCGGATGCCCATTTTCCACAAGTTGATATGATTCTTTAGGGACTTAATGAAAAGTCTATAACATTCTTTGGTTAAATTTCTCAATGGTAGTGTAAAAAACATCCTTTTTACCCTGTCAAAATCAGCTCTGTTTTCAGCACGTCGTTCTAGTCCGTGTTGCTTTAAATGCTAATGAGCTCTGCTCACCCCGCCCCTCTCTTCCGTGGGGTGACGAGCAGACTGTAAACTTCAGCCGCGAAACTTGCGAACTAGCACATATTAGGAAAGGCAATTTGCAAAGATTCATAAAAAAACCCTTATACTCACTTCTGTAGATGAAGCTGAATCATGAATGATTCGCGCGAACATAGACGCATTTAGGTAGATCGGGGATCGGCGCATTCTTTTCAAAACTAAAGTAACGTTAATCCTCTGCGTCTTCAGCGGCTCAGATGTCGGGAGTAAATGACGATTGCTATGTTCATTATTACATTCAACAACAGAACACCTCAATCGCTTAATCTGAGACATTCTTGTCTTCCCCTGCAGGCCTGCACCGGAGTCGACACAATAATGGCGGACTGATGACAGCTCACTCAGGGTGGGTCTAAGGCATAGACTGTATAAAAACATGGACGTAGTGTCCGTGACGTCACCTGTAGTTTTCTGAAGAGTGTTTTTGAAGCTCAAAGTGGGCAGAGCCGGCCGTCGCCATCTTGGCAGCGCGTCACTCCCGGATAATCGAAACTGGGCAAAAAGGCGGAAGCAGGTTGCTGAAACCACGCCCACCTAGCTCGACGGCAGTGTCAGCAGCGTCAATCCACCTGTCACTCAAGTGGCCACGCCCTTAATTATGCAGAACATTAAGGCTTAATATAATTTAAATGGATGAGTTATAAAAAAAAAAGTCACCCACCTCACAGTTGTCATGAAGGGCAAAATTAGCTATATAGACCAAAATAATTTTTTGAACCAGGCTATATACATGTTTTTTTCTGATGTAAAATTGGGCATTTTAACATGAGGAGTCTATGGGATTGACTCCCTTTTGCAGCCAACCTTCGGCCAGTTGATGAATTACAGTTTAAGTCACTTCCTTGTTGGCTTCACGAGAGAGAGCAGGAGGTTGCCGCTCGGTCCTAATGCACAAATCATTTTAATATGCTGATTTGGTGCTCAAGAAACATTTCTTCTTATTATTGACGTTGTGCTGCTTTGTTCAAGTTACATACTGTAAGACAAAATGCACACAATCCACACCTGTAGCACTTTGCCAGAGCGGGGCTCGATGACGCGGAGCTTCTTGTCCTTGCAGCTGGTAGCCAGTAGGCTGCCCTCTGTGTTAAATGACATACAGAGGATCACGTCTGTGTGACAGTCAATCATTTTCACCGGCTCTCCAATCTCAAGATTCCAAATGAGGATCTCCAGAAAGACAAAAAACACAGTAGTCAAACATCAGAAACAGTCTTTTGACTGCTTTATTTTTGTGAGGGGCACTCTCATGTTCATATTATGGACAGTCAGAATTAGTTTTCACATACAATGTTTAGTACTAACTGTCCACACTGTTAATTTAAAGGGGTCATCGGATGCCCATTTTCCACAAGTTGATATGATTCTTTAGGGACTTAATGAAAAGTCTATAACATTCTTTGGTTAAATTTCTCAATGGTAGTGTAAAAAACATCCTTTTTACCCTGTCAAAATCAGCTCTGTTTTCAGCACGTCGTTCTAGTCCGTGTTGCTTTAAATGCTAATGAGCTCTGCTCACCCCGCCCCTCTCTTCCGTGGGGTGACGAGCAGACTGTAAACTTCAGCCGCGAAACTTGCGAACTAGCACATATTAGGAAAGGCAATTTGCAAAGATTCATAAAAAAACCCTTATACTCACTTCTGTAGATGAAGCTGAATCATGAATGATTCGCGCGAACATAGACGCATTTAGGTAGATCGGGGATCGGCGCATTCTTTTCAAAACTAAAGTAACGTTAATCCTCTGCGTCTTCAGCGGCTCAGATGTCGGGAGTAAATGACGATTGCTATGTTCATTATTACATTCAACAACAGAACACCTCAATCGCTTAATCTGAGACATTCTTGTCTTCCCCTGCAGGCCTGCACCGGAGTCGACACAATAATGGCGGACTGATGACAGCTCACTCAGGGCAGGTCTTAAGGTAAGATGGACTTCTCAATCAACTATCGTGGGAGGGGCCTGTGCAGAACTACGTCATTCTGACTGGAATCTCAGAACAGCCTGATTTGAGAAAGGGGATTTTAAAATAGGGATTTAAAAAAAACCACTGGGTGGATTTTTATCATTATAGGGTGGATGTGTACACATTAATGTTCAAACAACAACAAAAGTGAATTTTGCATCCGATGACCCCTTTAAATTTGATGTTTTCATTTTATAGCACATATTACTGAATTAAAGAATTTCAAATTGTTACAAAAGATTTCATTTAAAAAAGGTCAAGGTACGCACATCCAAAGCGTCTTGGCCAGGTGCAAGATCAAAAATTACATCAAATAATACAAAAAAGATCTGCACACTGTAATTCTCCCTTTATTTAGAAAAAGTTAAAATTGCCACTTGTAACTTTTTCTAAATAAAGGGAGAATTACAGTGTGCAGATCTTTTTTGTATTATTTACAAAAGATTGAATTACCTTATAGTCATAGCCAGCACTGAAGAGAATCCCACTAGTGGTTGGGTGCCACTCTATGAGACCCACACGCCTGCTGTGGCCATACAGTTCTAATACAGACTCTGTCAAATTCCTCCTCAGTCCACCATCAGGAATCTCCCATATTCGCACCTGACACATTCACATGCACATGCAAACGCAAATAGCACTTTTGGATTAATAGCACAATTTTAAAAAGCAGTTTTAAACTCTAATGTCAGGTTAGTTATTAATCTATAACTTCATAAATGGTTAAATTAGTCTCGAATGACAGATACAACATAAGACATATACTGAAGCATTACAGTGATCAAGTATTCCTGAGAGCCATCTAATCATCATCATATGTTTTCACCTGCTCTATCCCTACTTTCATTTTGAGCAAGGCATTTTGGGTGTGTGTGTGTGTGTTTAACATTTATTCTTTAATTTATATTATTCTAAATATAATTATAATTTCATTTCTTTTATACTTTATTATTATTTACAGAGTTAATTAATATGATTTCTGTAAAACAAACGTACACACATGAAACTGACATTAAATGTTTATGCCTTTCCTTATACTGTGCATATAGGTTTAATAAACAGTTTCTATTTAAGTGATATTTTTGGTTCTGTTCGACAGAATAATGTTTCAGGTTCTTGTGTTGGTAAAAATTCTTCCACAACCATGCCCATCATGAAAAGTAAATGCAAACCAACAACTGAAACAAGTTTTCATTGCACAGAAAGAGGTTTCCCCAGATTATTTAAATGATGCTGACTAATTTGACCATTGTGATTTAGCATTTTAGGTTTACTCACAGAAGAGTCCTCTGAACAAGAAGCAATTATGTTTTCATGGAAAGGATTCCATTTGATGTCCAGCACGTTTCCTTGGTGACCGCAGACCTTTGGATAGTGAGGGTCGATACGGCCAAACTGCAAGAGAGACGTAAAGGTTACCGATCTAATGTCCCCCCATGTGACTAAGGATATAAACAAAAGAATGTATGGACAAACATAAAAAGATTTTAAAAAATATATATACATATGGATAGTTGAAAACATTCACATTTTTATGAAATGTCTGATATAGGTTTATACAATCTGACAATATCACACCTAAACAAATACAGCTCCATTGTAATACACACAAACGTCCACTGTGTGGCGCTACATAACTACAGTCATACAATCAATAGTAGACAGAACGTTAGTCATGATGCCATGAATGTTTGATGTCACTTTAGTCCATTGACCTCCTTCTGAGGTCCTGTGGGATTTGTAGTTCAGCTCATGCGTGAGCGCACCCTGAGTGGTCTGCTTAAAGACTCTTCATCTATAGGTCAGGCCTTCAATACAATGCAGTGAGATAGCAATGCTGGTGCTCTAAGAAGAGTCACAGTGATGCTCTATCAGAGGAGTTATTTCATTGTTGAACAATTTTTGTATGCTTACTCAAGAAAGATGAAAAAGCAAAAGCAGCTTGATATTGATGCATGTTGCTTTTTGGTAGCATATGCAATGAACTGTTCTGCAATGAAATTTTCTGTCCCCGTGTCTGTGCTCTCTGTGCTATTCTCCAAGATTAGCATGATGGAAATCATGTCTGTGATTTGCTCTGTGTTAGATTATTGCATTAAATTAGCACTGTGATTGCTTGAGGGGTGTTCATTTAATATAATTTTTCCTTGATTTCCCACAGGAGATCAAAACTAAAAAAAACACCGAAAACATGACCAATTATAAAATAGCAAAGCTTTTACTACTGTGACCAAAGCACTCAGTTACACTTGTTCAAATGTTTGCATACATGTGAGGATTTCTGATTTGTCAAGGTGTTTTCCAAGACTACATATAGGCTAGCTCTTAGACTCATCCTTTGCTTATTCATACAAACAATTCAAATCATAAAGCAAATTTATTAGATTAGAAACAAAACAACTTATACAAACAGGGCATAACTAAAGGCACAACAGCCAAAGAATAAAAATATAAAATATACTGAACAAAATTATAAATGTAACATACGTTTTGCCCCATTTTTCATGAGCTGAACTCAAAGATCTAAGACTTTTTTCTATGTACACAAAAGGCCTATTTCTCTCAAATACATTTCATTGTTGAAAAATTTTTGTATGCTTACTCAAGAAAGATGAAAAAGCAAAAGCAGCTTGATATTGATGCATGTTGCTTTTTGGTAGCATATGCAATGAACTTTTCTGCAATGAAATTTTCTGTCCCCGTGTCTGTGCTCTCTGTGCTATTCTCCAAGATTAGCATGATGGAAATCATGTCTGTGATTTGCTCTGTGTTAGATTATTGCATTAAATTAGCACTGTGATTGCTTGAGGGGTGTTCATTTAATATAATTTTTCCTTGATTTCCCACAGGAGATCAAAACTCAAAAAAACACCAAAACATGACCAATTATAAAATAGCAAAGCTTTTACTACTGTGACCAAAGCACTCAGTTACACTTGTTCAAATGTTTGCATACATGTGAGGATTTCTGATTTGTCAAGGTGTTTTCCAAGACTACATATAGGCTAGCTCTTAGACTCATCCTTTGCTTATTCATACAAACAATTCAAATCATAAAGCAAATTTATTAGATTAGAAACAAAACAACTTATACAAACAGGGCATAACTAAAGGCACAACAGCCAAAGAATAAAAATATAAAATATACTGAACAAAATTATAAATGTAACATACGTTTTGCCCCATTTTTCATGAGCTGAACTCAAAGATCTAAGACTTTTTTCTATGTACACAAAAGGCCTATTTCTCTCAAATATTGTTCACAAATCTGTCTAAATCTGTGTTAGTGAGCACTTCTCCTTTGCTGAGATAATCCATCCACCTCACATGTGTGGCATATCAGGATGCTGATTAGACAGCATGATTATTGCACAGGTGTGCCTTAGGCTGGCCACATTAAAAGGCCACTCTAAAATGTGCAGTTTTATCACACAGCACAATGCCACAGATGTTACAAGTTTTGAGGGAGCGTGCAATTGGCATGCTGACTGCAGGAATGTCCACCTGAGCTGTTGCCTGTGAACTGAATGTTAATTTCTCTACCATAAGCCGTCTCCAAAGGCATTTCAGAGAATTTGGCAGTACATCCAACCGGCCTCACAACCGCAGACCCCGTGTAACCTGAGGAGAATGGTGGTCACACCAGATACTGACTGGTTTTCGGGAACCCCCCCCCGGACCCCCCAATACAGTAAATCTGCACATTTTAGAGTGGCCTTTTATTGTGGCCAGCCTAAGGCACACCTGTGCAATAATCATGCTATCTAATCAGCATCTTGATATGCCACACCTGTGAGGTGGATTGATTATCTCGGCAAAGGAGAAGTGCTCACTAACACAGATTTAGACAGATTTGTGAACAATATTTGAGAGAAATAGGCCTTTTATGTACATATAAAAAGTCTTAGATCTTTGAGTTCAGCTCATGAAAAATGGGGGCAAAAACAAAAGTGTTGCGTTTATAATTTTGTTCAGTGTACATACTGTGACGAGCGTCCCGAAGCTGCATCAGAGTCGCCCTGGAAACGAGCGAGGAGCACCTGGCTGTCCTCATCACAGGCTGATCGGTCACAGCTGCAGCTCATCAGGCGGCGGCCTCATAAGCCACATAAGCCCTGCCATCTGGAAGACTTCTCCATGAGACTGAGCACTAACTCGCCCTCTCATTTCTCCCACAGACAGCAGCGTGTGACCGACCAGCCCCACAGGAGCACTGCACGGACCCTCTGCACTGGGAAGACGGAAGAGAGCACTCACGGCACTGGAGCACCTACCTGGACCTTTCTCCCTACCACCCACCTCACTAATAAATCCACCCTCCGGGGCATTTATTAAGAATTCCTTGTCGTGTGATTCTTCACCCCGTTACAATACATACATAAATAAATAAAGTGACTTTAAAGTATTACTTTATTAAAACTACTAACATTATTAGTTGACCTCGGGGGAATAAGTAAATAAATAACTAAAGGTATAATATGACCACTTTAACAATCTTTTACTTGCATTTGCCAAAGTTTCGAAATGAGATGCTTTTTCTTCTTACGGCTATTTCTCAGTTTCCTCTCTCCAATTATTCTTTTTTTAAATTCTTGCTTATTGTTATTCTTTGTGCAACATAGTTACAGATTTGTGTGTAGGAGTGTGTTGGTGGCGGGCGGTTGTTGACACAGATGTGTTGGCTTCAGATCAGGCTGAGTAGTCGCTGTCTGAGATCTTACAGTCAGAGACAAAAGGAGATAATATATTTAGCCACACCCTCAATTGTGAGCAACACAATGATGCGTGAGGAACAGCCATGTGATTACACTAATTATGATGTCATTGGATGTGCCTCTCTGATAGCACATTCTTGTAAAAAAAAAAAAAAAAGTGAAATTTAATTAGTTAGTTAGGCTTCAATTAGTGTCACATGAATATCTACATCTAAATATTAAGTCAATACAACATTATTATGGGACAGTCCAGAATATGCTAAATCAGTGTCTATTGTATACAGGTTTAGAAGTTCAGGTTTGATTATGATGCTATTATGTTTATGAATCCTAATCACACATTAAACACATTTCTGAATACACATTATCATTTTACGCTCTAAATAAATATGCTAAATGCAATAACAAATGAATAATGACTCACTAGACCTGTACTAGAACTTAAGAGGCAGAAACTATTTTTCTAAATGTTAAATGCAGCAAACATAATTTCCTCTCATGTTTATAACAGTATAACAAAGTATTTACTTTTTTAACACAGAGAAATGTAAACTTGCCTGCACATTCTGTATATGCAAAATGATAGCATATTATAAAATGATCATTTTTTGCTCATTAATAAATTATTTGCGACAAACTGATGATAGGAAGAGCCTAACAAATGATTATTATTCTGTTGTAGATATCCAGACAGCAGGAGTATGGAGTTTTACACGATACATAATCAGAACATGACTGGCTTTTCTAAAGCCTGTTCAAAATGATCCTGCATTCTTCTAACATTTTACATGGTTTCTGAACAAAATTCTAAATAAAGGGCATTACAGTTTCTGAGTTTACTGTATGCTAACTGAGGCGTTATAAAAATGGGTGTGTGTCAAGTAAAAAGCCCTTTTGGTCATGTTAGTCTGAACTGGTTGGCAGTTTCCTATCAGTGTTGCCAGACGGCCTAACTCCCTTTTATATGTGTGTGTGTGTGTGTGTATATAACTGTGTGCCTGCCGGCTTGAGCCTGCATTATTTTAAGAATTTTGATATCATCCCATACCATTACAGCACCACACTCACACATTATCTTTCACAGAAGTTTCTGTCAACAGCAGCTTAGCAGGTCAAGGAAAGGAACGGTTTCATTTCCAAATGGTTAAACAGTTAATGATGACATCATCGCGAAAACCAGTCGTCTATTCATGCTTTTTTTTTTCTCTTTTCCTGGGCCATCTCATCATGGTTTCTGAACGCAGTTTCCATTCCACAACTGAAGCTCCTTTGTCAAATGAGGAATTACATCTGAAAAGCCAATGTTCTGCCACTATATTGCTCCCATGTGTCTGGATTTCAAATGTACTATGATAATTGCTTATTCTTAATCAGACAGTTGTCTCTGTAATATAGACTAATGTCTTGGATTGAAAAAAAACACATTAGAAAGATTTAATAATCTACATACACACATTACAAAAAATACAAAATTGCATTAAACTGCCAAACTTCACACAAGTTGTTATTTAAAAAAAAAAAATTTAATATATAAAACATATATATATATATATATATATATATATATGGCTGTAAATATCTAAAAAAAACAAAAATGCTAAAGCTTATGTGACCCTAGACCACAAAACCAGTCATAAGGGTTAATTTTTTTTTCGAAATTGAGAATAACACATCATCTGAAAGCTGAATAAATCAGTTAGGATATGACAATATTTGGCCGAGATACAACTATTTGAAAATCTGGAATCTGAGGGTGCAAAAAAATCTAAATATTGAGAAAATCGCCTTTAAAGTTATTCAAATGAAGTTCTTAGCAATGCATATTACTAATCAAAAATTAAGTTTTAATATATTTGCAGTAGGAAATTTACAAAATATCTTCATGGAACATGATCTTTACTTAATATCCTAATGATTTTTGACAAAAAAGAAAAATCAATCATTTTGACCCATACAATGTATTTTCGGCTATTGCTACAAATATACCCCAGCGACTTAAGGCTGGTTTTGTGGTCCAGGGTCACATATATTGGTTACATAATGCAGCTAAAGATGAACTATAGCTTCACAGTGATTTCTCTGATCTCTATGGCAGATTTCAGTGATGGTGACAGAGAATTTCTCAGTATTACAGTAAGTATGTAAACTTTGCAGGGAGCTGTCAGTGCTAGACTGAGAAAGACAGAGACACAAGGGAGATGGAGAATGAAGAAGATGGGAACAAATAGCACCCCGTGGCGTCCAAAGAAACATATACGGAAGTCAGAGGGACTGAACTCTTTTCCAAGGCCTGGGAGCCCAGTTGGAGTCACGAACACTGTGGAATAAGCACATTAAGGACACAAAGCTGGCCTTCTACATCACACATTAACTGGGCGACTCTGAATGTTCATCACAAAAGTGCTATTGATAGTTTATCCAAGTTGGCTGAGACCATGACCGAGGGTCTGCAGGCCCACTGAGCAGTGTATCATGACCGGATGCACTCAAGAGGAGGAACAGAAGAATAGACATAATAAAGAAGAGAGATGACTGAAGAGAAGAATGGGACATCAGAGGCTGTCCGCCAAATTCTCATTGTCATATCAATGATAAACGGTGTGTGAGTCATTTTTTCTGCCTGTGCTTTTTGTGCATTCTGTCCACTTGCTGTGGAGGTGGAATTTGGAGGAACATTTAAATTCACTAACTTTGCATGTTGTATCTTTAGGACTCAGTAACATAGTTACAAAAAGATAATAACTTAGAGGGATAGTTCCCTAAAAAATTATGTTAGCATTTACTCACCCTCATGTTGTTCCAAATCTGTATGACTTTCTTTCTTCTGTGGAACATAAAAGAAGACATTTTGAGAAATGTCTTATATATATATATATATATATATTTTTTTTTTTTTATTATATATTTTTTTTTTGGCCATACAATAGAAGTCAGTGGCGACCAAAACTGTTTGGTTTCCAACATTCTTCAAAGTATATTTTGTAGAAGAAAGAAAGTTGTACAGGTCTGAAACAACATGAGAGTGTGAGGGTGAGTAAATGATGACAGAATATAAATTTTTCGGTAAACTATCTCTTTAACATACAGAAACCCTGTCTTCTATCTTTCCATATGAAGCAGACATATAAAGCTGTTCTGTTCCAGCCAGAGCACATTGATTTGTCCACACCACTGTTATATCAGTGTCAATCATCAGGAGTTTACAGCTTCCAGTGCTTGTCTCTTTTACAGCATTAAAGCCAGAGATCAAACAAAGGAAAAGTATCTGCTTTCTGCTCACTAGTCAGGCTTTTTCTTGGCCTGTGAACAGGGTAACAGAAAGATTCAATTTAGAGCATGTCAAGCCACTGGGTGAGAGACTTCATGGTCCCATGGAGTCAGGGGTAATGGAGATAGCATACTTGCTCTTAAAAGATGCAAAAACAAACATTTGTGCTCTTCAAAATGATTCAACTACAATTCACCTCATTTTCAACAGGGCAATAACATAACATTCTGCTCATTAATTTGACTTTATTGTGCTCTCTGGATGCAATATAATCATGTTGAAAGAGATATTTTCATTCAGAACAGCATGTAAGTGATCATGAAATGATGTGTATTGGTGCAAAGGGAACCTAAACCATGTGAAAGAAATGCATAATACTCTACAACAGAGCCAACTAAAGTATTAGTTGAAGAAAGAGAGAGTGAGAGACAGATGCCTGTGGGTTTCTTTAAGTGTGCACCACATGTGCCTTTATAAGAACGTATTTCTATTAAGAATGTATTTTCTACAGTATTTTTTGCTTTGTGCTTTGTGTCTCAAACTTTGATTTAATATTCCCATGTCTGACTGCTACAAATACAAATTAAATTCAAGTACAAAGACCACTGGGGTAGGTTGTAACTATTATTAATATATATATATATTTGCATTACTTTAACATGGTAAAAATAAAACATGAATTTTAATTCTCACACACACACACACACACACACACACACACTAAAAGCCATAACAGTGTGTGTAGTTATTGTGTGTACTTGGTCATGCTTTGGGGCAAATTCCTCAGAAGTGAGATAATTCTGACAACCCTTACGCAAAGAAAATATATTTCCTTATATATGAATGATCAATATATTAAATGATTTAACGGTAAATTGAAAACATACAGAATAATATATTGTGTTAAAGGGGCCATATGATGATGCTAAAAAGAACATTATTTTGTGTAATTGGTGTAATGAAATGTGTTTATGCGGTTTAAAGTAAAAAAAACACATTATTTTCCACATACTGTACATTACTGTTTCTCCTCTATGCCCCGCCTTTTTGAAACTCGTCGATTTTTACAAAGCTCATCGGTCTGAAAAAGCGAGGTGTGCTGTGATTGGCCAGCTATCCAATGCGTTGTGATTGGCCGAATACCTCAAGCGTGAGACGGAAATGTTACGCCCCTCACATACTGTTGATGCCGTGTCCGGGCGGAGCGACGAGACATAAACATTAAAATCCATTACAAACGAGGCATTTGTTGCATCCAGTGGTGACATAATTACTGATTATAATGACTTACACTGTCTTTTTACGCGTTGCGTTGCATTGCATCGTGCCGCGTAAACATAACACTCTGTCTGCATTTGTGATCGGAGAAATGACAAACAACAAGTGCTACTCTACTGCCCAAAACTCGCGTTTGAATCATCAGTTGCAACGAAAAACACAGCGGCCTAGCGTGAGGGGAAGCCCCGGCTTAGCGTGCGCTGAGGCCGGGATAGAGTGAGCTGAGGCGGGCTGGACTCCGCTTCGTCCACGGTGAAAGTTGATTCCCTCAGCGACCAGCACAGATCAGCTCTAGGCATGACGAAGCAGATATCGTCCTCTTTTGGAAGACCAAACAAAGTAGTTTCGCTTTCACAACGAAGCACACAGCGTCTTCAGGACATGGCTGCAACGTCAACAATACTACAGCGAGAATAAAAGTTACGCCTTCTTTCTTTGATTGAACATTTGGGCGGCGTTATGCAAATCTTCCCAGATCGTGACGTAGACATGTGGGGGCGTGTTAGAACGAGCTGTTTTAGGTAGGCGTGGTTAACTCTTAACTTTTATAAAGAGTATCTCTTTGGTTTTGAGACTTTAGTCTTTGCAACTTTACAGATCTTCTTTATGCACCAAGAGCTTGTAACAGAAAAAAAACAGAAAGGAAAAATTTAAATCGCATCATATGACCCCTTTAAAATATTACAATATATTGAATACTACATAAGGAATTGCCGCTTTCATATATCGAAAAATATGTTGACAATATGTTTAATTACCGGTATATATTACAATATATGCAATTTTATATTCAGTAATACACTTCATAACATATAGATGTACATGTGATAAGATATGGTACTCCATGTGTGTGTGTGTATACACACTTATCCATTACTTTTTAAATAAAGCAATATATAGTCTTAATGGTGTTTGGCCAGTCGTCATCCTAACCACAGGCACCACAAAAACGCAAAAAAAACAGAAACCCTTTAAAAAACATCAACAACAACAACAACAACAACAACAACAATAATAGAACATTAAACACTAACAGATTTCCCACTATATTCATATTGATCAAAACATGAAATAACACTTAAATTTAAGATTTACTCTCCTTTAACAGTCAGAAACCAAGCATGCTGGGAACTAGAAATCTGCTTTAACGCTTACATTCTGTGAATGATTGTATATATGCGTGTACATACATTCACATTTATATGGGAACATGTATGTGCAATATATGTGTGCACAATAAAGGATACAACTTTATGAATATTACATGTAATGCTGTTTTTGTCCTCATTTTTATATGTATCAATATATAGCCATGGCCAATGCATATACTGCAGTAGATTGAAAAATATAAGCATTAGTTTCCCATATATGTAAATGTATTATGTAATATATCGCTTGACTGACTGCACAGACAGACACTATAGGAAGAGAGCTAAACTAGATGATCACTGAATCATCAATGAACTTACTTTAGCTGAAAAAATGACTTTTTGTTATTGTCCACTTGCATTATTGCCGAACTATTTTCCTGCTTGACACTTTAAAGCTGCTTTGACACAATCAGCATTGTATAAAGGTTATTTATATTGCATTATATCCCCATATATTTTTGTTTCGTAATGAAAGATGTCCATTTGGTCTCATCTTTTGTAAAAATCGATAAATAAATAAACTATATATTGGACTGTGGCGTTAATGAGTGACATTTCACCCCTGTAGTATAACCATAGTTAACCATAATTGGTTAAAATAACGGTTTTAACTCCATTTCACAACACTTACCGTTCTCCCCTATACGCAGTATTACCACCAACCAACGCAACCGCCATTTTAAACTCACTTTCGCGCGCGTGCTATTTTGCCGTGGTTACCTGAGTGACCGGGATAACAACGAAGGAGCCTCCTCCCGCGCTCTCCGTTACTATGGCGAGGAACTTGGCGTTGACCGCGCAGAAGTGGTTGTCATGGACGTTTTTTGTGATCGGGATGCCCTCGAAGCAGTGCTCTCGATTGGCCACTTTGCCGTAGACGTTTCGAAACTTGGAGCTCCGGTAGGTCGGCCGCCATGACATCTGCAAAACACATGCGAAGAAAACAGACTAGATTACATCAGTTTTTTTTGTAACTTTTAATTTTTATCTTTATTAAAGTTGTGACAAGGGGCAGATGGGCTGTCCATATCAAGCCTGCATTTTAAAAATAAAGGTTCCAATTAGCCTAGAGCTGGAGCCACACTAATCTGTTTACCTGTCTGTACTGGAAGATTATATAAACAGGTGAGAATGATGTGAACTGATACTGTTAAAAATACAGCAATTTTATTGATTTAGTTGACCTTTATTTTTAATTGTATCGGAAGTCCACGAATAAAACAGCATTATACATTTTAGAAAAGATGTGTGTTTTGGCATGAGACTAGCAGTAAAAGTTGAAAAAAATGAAACAAAGTAAACAAGACTGAACAAAAACCAACACCCAGATCCCAACTAGTTGTTACCTCTGCCCAACGTCACTAGGGGTCTTTGGCCTATAAGCAAACTCATATACAGAACATGTCAATAAATATGTAACAATTAAGATGTCTAATGACACCATGATATGATAAGTGAAATACAGATATTGGACCCATTAGTGCTGATTTGTCTCCATTTTCCAATATGAAACCCTTTAGAAGACTTTGCCACTCAAACAGGAAGCGGTTGGTGGATGCTTGTAAAATTTCACACAACTGAAAAAAGCCGTTTGTGGTTTAGCCTAGAGGAATGTGCAAGCAACAATTTAGACTCTAATGAATGAGGCTGTGCCATTCAACATGAGCTGCCATTCGAAGAGATAGTGGTCACAAGGAGTACAGGAAGTGTTAAATCACCAGTGTCTGTTCTGAATCTTTATGGGAGATTGACATCACTCATGACTAAAGACTGCATTGTGAATATCTGTCTGCTTTTGTGTGAGAAACATGTACAACCCTTAGTCTTTAGTTTATCTCTAACATATATGATGACTAATCGGGAATTGTGTTAGCAAAGTTAAAAAGTTTGGCTAATCAGCAGTGAGGCTTGAAATTGCACTTTTTGTCACTTCCACATGTGTAATTTTCAGCTCTCCTACTGTGTGGATGTTTACAGCAGTCCTAAAGCATTCAGCGGTTTGTGTGCGTGTGTCATTTAATGCTGCATGTACATACACACTCGCACACTTCTCCAAAAGACCAACTGACCACTATCTATCTGTGTACTGTGTACTATCTGTATTACAGTATTTCTGTATATGAATACACAAAATATATTTTCTTATTCAATATATGAGAATAATATACATCATATTTATTACTAGTTTCACATCAATGTCTGACTTTAAATTATTGAGGCTAATTCCCTACCTTTCCTCTGGTTTTGAGCTCACCACCCTCTGAATTCTGCAGTCATCTACAAAAAGAGCTTGTATCTTCTTCGGCTTCCTTAGTGCATCTAGTTTGCCGACCTGAGATGCTTGCATCAGTTTCTCTCTATCCCTTTTTTCTCCAAGCGTTCTCCTCCCACAGCCTTCTTTCACCCCCCCCTCCCCCCCTTACTACTTCATTCCCTCCTTCTTCCCAGGCCCAGCCCCACATCAGCTACTTTGGCACTACTGTATTTGCTAGCGGTCGAATATCTTTCTCTCTGTCTGAAACACGCACAAACAGACAGTTGCTCCCTTTCTAACATATACACATTACCTCCCTTACAGGCACAAATTGTTGCTCCAGCCTCTCTTTACTGTATGTCAGTGTTTGCTCATTAATGTCTTTCTGCTCATTATTGCCATTAACTGACCACTCACATTCCTCACCATCTCATTCAGTTTATAAAACATATTGATCTAAACTAAAAGACAATGTTGAGTTGTATAATAAGTATGACGCAACTGCACTCTGTCTAAGTATACTTAAGTTATGACTGGGGGAAGTGTCCTCATTTCAACTGGAGAATGATCTTTGCTGCACGTTCATCCACTATAGCAGTTATGGTCTTAAAAACATAATAACAAGATTACTTTCTTGTTCCTGAGCTCTTTTTATATCTCCAATTTACTAATGCTTTTATATTATTATTACCAATACTGGACTGATTAAGCTGAATGGCAAAATGCAAGGCCAACCATAGGCTGTTATCATTCATTTTTTATAGTGCACTCTACCCCATTCATTACTCCATTACAGCATCCAAATATTAGATCTCCCCAACCCAACTCTGCCTTATTCATGTAAAGAATCATTCAAAGATACTGATATTCCAACAGCTTCCAAGTCAGGAAGCAAGCCTCTTCTGTCTTTAAAATGGGACAAAAAAAAAGTGATGAAAGGCCTCCAGAGGGCCACAGCTGGTCATTGGTTAGACTGCTTTCAGCCCCTCACCATGTCAGGGAGCCCGTCTTTGTTGGACATTAGAGCAGCTAACCTCCAGCTCCCACTTCCGAGTAGCACGAGTGAGTTCTGATGCCATTCTGTCTCTGTGGGAGTTAAATAACTCTGAGCCTGGAGACCCACTGTCTGTTTTGGCAGCTCTGGCTCCAGCTGTGAATGAAATACAGCTGAAAGAGAGCCAGGTCAAGTTGCATGCTGTCCTTTCACACACAGAGAAGTCAGAATGAATGCTGGTGACTGTAGAGACAGGTTTTAACATAAGCTTCGATAAATCTTGTCCTTAAGTCTGTCCAAAGTCTGCCAGCCCCGATCTTTGGGAAACTTGCTATACAAAATTCAGCATTTACTTTACTGCAGACAGAGATATAATGAGGACAACATGAGATTTACCTGATATATAGCTGCCAAGTGGCAAATGATAACTCTGAATTTTTTCTGTGTATATTTGTTTTCACTGGATTCGCTATATTCGTGCACACACACAGTAATGAGATCATCCTAAGCCACAAACCATTGTTATTCAGCAATGGAAAATACCTTAAGGAAAACAATTGCATGTATAAGTTAAGTTCCAAACCAGAATCATTTTGTCAAGAGCTGAAGGGCATTTAAATCCCTTCAATTCTCAGTGAGGGCAGAACTCAGGGGAGGGAGAATAGAGACCTTCATTACTACAGTACTGGAGGGTGTTTTGTGTACTGGGGTGCGCTTTGTTTGGTATTGGTTGTCTGCTTGGCTGTATTTTTCCTCCACCAGGCAGGGCAGATGCAGCTGTAACAACTGACTTTCAGATTTGAAAATTTTGCACACTGTACTTCATATATAACATACTGAAACATGTCTCTCATTGTAAATGGCCTAACAGTGTAAAGGGAGAAAAATGATGAAAAGTCAGCCTTGTTTTAGACTAGGGGTATTCAACAGGAGGTACACTGCAGCACAGCCAATTATTGTCTTGATTGATTTCACAACTTGCTTCATCTTGATATTATCATCATAATCATCGGTTTTAACTATTTATTTAATGAACCAGCTCATAGAAGTAATTTGTTTGTGAATCATACTACACTGGTTGTGCTGTATATTTTTGATTCACTATAAAGAACTGACTCATACGAGTAATTTGTTGAGTAATTAGACACACACAGTCTTTTTTTTAGATTCAATACAGACGGCAACAACTCACGTTTAAAACTCAGGTAAAATATAATTTATTTTGCCATGATGCTGAACAGCAGGATGTTGATCTAAGAACACTGGGAAATTTATCGAGTGTGTCATGACATACTTCCTTAAAAACACAAGAAACAAGACTACCAGTTTCCTCCCTTTTCGTCTCTGTAAGGGATCAGACAGACAGGATGGGTGCAGTCAGGCTACAGCACTAAAGCTCAAAGACAGAAGATGGTGGGTTTGACAGAGTGGGGAGACAGAAAGAAAGAAATGTTTAATACTAAACAACAAATACTTTTCTGTGAAATGTAAGCAATACTTTGCTGCCAAGGCTCATTTTTTATATTCAATTTGATTCCTTTTAAAGGATTTATTTTGATAACTCGTATGCAAAAAAAAAGGTAAAGTGCTGCAAGTGTCATCTGGGGATATAAACTGTATGTTGTTGTTCATGCACTTAGGGACAGGATGTCCTTAAGGGGGTTATCAGACTTTGATAAAGAATAGGGCGGGGTTTTGACACAAATTTCACAATTCGATTAAATTCTCATTCACAAGCTTGCGATTCGATTCAATTACCGATTCAATTCAATATAGATTATTTTGGATATATATCAGGTATACATGCCAAATTTTCTCAAGGAAAAAAAATCTCTCAACTAATGCTGTAAAATATACATAAGTCAGTTGGTACTACATTACTATAATATTGAGTTTTTGAGTATTGAGTATAACGTTTTTACAGTAATAAAATTACAGTTTCATAATAATATTTCTACTTCAATTCATTTTTTTTATATAAACGTTTAAATGGTGGCTGTCATAAAAACTTGATGGATTTATTCAAACATAAAATTAAACATTGAAGAACAGTAAAAATGATAATGAATATGTTATATGGTGCATATATTTGTCACGAATCCGGTCCGTGGTCTTCCTTCTGCTCACCACCAGAGGTCGCCTTCTGATTACATTGACTCTCACACCACACAAACTGTTGCACGTCACCCTGGACTACATTTCCCATGCTCCATTGCACTGATTGGACTCACCTGCAGCCAATCACACACACACTATATAACAACCACTCAATCCTTCTCTAATCACCGAGTATTGTTTATCGCTTTCCCAGTGATAGATTGAAAATTTATATATTATACAAATTCATATATATTATTAAATCAACAAATTATTTAAGCATTTTAATATAAGCCAATATAAGATCAAAATCAGTTGTTTACATCCAGGAGGCCGGGGCACACTAGGGGACCTCAGCAAATGTGGTGGCCTCAAGATGACTTGAAATAAGACAAAACAAGCATTAAAATAAAACAAAACAGCTAATATTTAATATAATTCTTCATTTAATCCATCCCCTCAATTGTTATTTTTTTCTTTGAAGAACCATGAAAAAACCTGATATATGAGGTAGGCTAATTTTTAAAGGTGTGTTTTCTAGACTATTTATATTTAAAAAGATTTTTTCTAGTAATG